GGGGGGGGGGGGGGTATGCCAAGGGATCACAACACATGCAGTAATAGGAAAGAGAGATTAGTTATGAAAAGCCTCACCTTATTTACAGTTTCCATATAGTTACAGCTGTAGAAATCAAGATTTAGAGAACCAGACCAGAAACATACATCACTGAACCTAATTCTTTTATATTGTAATGTATTTAGAAAAAATAAATTCCATATGTGTACAATGAAAAATGTTCGTACGAGGTACAAACCTCTCGATCAGCACAATGCCTCACCAATCAAACACAAATGGACTGCCACGAACTTAAGCAATTGGCGCAACAACTTTTCCTGTACACAAATAAATTAGATATCAACATAAATGTGTTTGGGTAGGAGATAAGGCCACGAGAGATTTGTGTTCTGCACTTCCGAATTGAAGAGAAGTCTAGCCCATTGGATGTTCAGGATCTTCAGGCACCACAATCTAACCGTCAGATAGTTGAGTTCATACAAGCACCCTTCATGTAGAATTGGAAGTTCAAACTTTCACTTCTTCCTATCTTAGAACCGTAAAGACTTCTCTTGGCTCTCTGCTGAATCTGAGATGATTATGTTTGGCACCGTAGACACCTGAATTGCCATCACTTATCCCACAGAATCTGAATATCTGTGATGACTTTCCATGAGATCAGCAAGAGTAATCTTTCCAAGATTGCCAGTGTCTAGCCGATCAAAAATTTTGCAGATCTGCAAGATGTCTTTCTCTGATACCTTTCCCATTTCCTTCAGCTTGTAAATAACGTATTCTGATTTACTGCAACCACCATATGCATATGAACTCCAAATCAGCAAGAACATCACATCTACTTGGGCCTTTAACAGAAATTCAAAATATATACCAATAATAGGGTAATAGTCTTGTCTAACTGAAAGAAATCTGACAGCATGGAGGATGGACGAAGCAAAATGATTGTAATGTCAACAGGTAAAGAACCAGGGAAAAAAATGTAACAAAAGGACTTAAATTTTTACATGTCAAATGAACCTCCCCATCCATATGAATGTGCACATGAAAAGCCAACAGCATTACACAAAATCCTTTGTCCTTCAGCATGTACGAAGACATAGGTTACAATCACAACAGAGGATACATGCCTTAAAAGGCCTCGTCCAAGATATGATCATGAGTGGATGAGCATGCCTAACACCCAGGAAAAGGAAGAGGGGGAAAAGGAATCTTAATCATAGAATGAAGATTGACTTGCAGCATCAAGATGCACCCTTTTAGATATAATAATTGGTAGCATGATAACCAGCAGTAGGATGACTATTTGTATGAACTGCAAACCGAAAATATTTCTGCCTCACAAAGATATGGCACATGTTGAGGCCACTAAACCCACCCACAGGAGTGGGATCGTCGCGTACTGTGGTGCCCCTATAAGGCCACTACCCAATATTGGTCACTCAAAGGGGTAGACGAGGTACAATCTTCATGTTTTGGAGGATAATTTAGCCAAATTGAGCTTTCTAACTTTGACTAACCATAACTTCGTACCTAGATGTCACATTTGCAAATATGACATATGTTTTCCATGCAGAATTTTATTCTCCGCGCACTGACTAAGGTGTTGTACCCTCCGCAACACAACGATCCTTAGTATTTGTCACCTCTTTTAGGTTGGGACACTAACCTAACCAAATTAAGATTTCTAACTTTAACCAACCTTTAGCTTCATACCCGGATGTCGTATTAAAAAATGTGATATATGTTTTCCATGCGGAATTTCTTTCTCTACACATTGATTATGATGTTCTATCCTCTATAAGACGAGAAATGGTTGCAGTCAAAATCAGGCCCTTATGTTGGAAGCCTGAGCTGTCACTTTTACACCAAGCAACAACCAATCTAATTTTGGGATCCTTCTATATCATCTAATAATCTATATATTACAAATAGAATTCCACCATCCAACTGATTAGCAGTAGTTTGACTTCCTTTTCTATTTTTCAACTTTACCGGTTCATGAGTGATTCTCCGATGCATGATTGATTAAAATGTACACAACCTGGGAACTTGATATACCGGGAGTTCCAAATCTTATCATGTTAATGTCTGATACATGAATCAGTAAAGGCTGGCTCTGACTCTGACAGAGTTGGAGAGCACACATCGGACCTCCACCTCCAATTTTAGTCAAGTGAATTTTTTCCTCTGACTCCTACTTCGAACTACTGTATATATATAGTACAAGTCCCCCTCCCCCTCCCAAAAAACAAAAAAAAGAAAGTTCAGCATGCAAGAAGACTATAATGAAGGGAAAAGAGGAAAGGAAAAAAAAAAGGAGGGATAAATGGAATACCCACTTTGAATGAAGGTGCAGGGAAGGGGACAGAAATAGGTGGCAGATATTTCCTAATGTACTCAACTTAGATTTCTACTCAAAAGTGGATTAAAAGGGGAAAACAAAGGAAGAACCAATTTTCAACCCCCATCAAACGACAATCTCCCTCCTTTATTCAAGAGTGTAATAGTGAAATCAGTGAAAAAAGGTTCCATGTTTCCTTTTTATCCTTCCAACCCAACTAAACTAAGATGTGACAATGGTTGGTTGTTCACGGCCTACCAGTAACTACCGTTTCTTTTTTGGGATCAATATCAGCAATGTAGTTCATCCAACGATAAACCTAGTCCGAATTATAGAACTATGACACAATCAAACCCAAAAGAACAAAATGTTGAATTGAATTGTACTAGCCTCTATTAGGGATCATTTTTGAACTTGTGATTTTATTTTTCCAATGATTTCTTTAATTAAATTAAATTAAGAGAACGACATAGGGAATAAAAATTTTAGGCATTCTCTTAGCCCGCTCGGAAGGATCTCATCTCATAATTGTCCATGACTGTTGCACCTTCATTTGAGGATGCATTTCTCATCCTGCATACCTTCACTTTCAATCCTCCATCCTTCCTATCAAATGAATCATACACAAATGCCTTTGGTGTGATGGAGTGGAAGTTGGAAGGAAAGGAAGAAAGGAGTAATGTAAGAGGCATCGCTAGGGACGAAAATAAACTTCTTCTAAATCTTGTGATTGACAACAAGGAAAGGAGAAAAAACAAAAAGATATTGAGGAGAGTTATTATTACACCCCTACATGTTGAATGAAATTTTATTGTCTAAGGGGAAAAACATTGAAAAAGGTGATGGAAGCCTGTCCCTCTTCATTTCCAAATTTAGGAGGGAAAATAATAGTGTACCCACAAATACAAGTCCATATCTCCTCTCTTCCCCTTTTCTGCTTACATGTTAAAAAACCATCTACTTCAAAAGTTAAGTTATTGGAAAAGGTATAACTTTTTATACTTCAACACCCCTCCACGTGCAGGTTAGATATAAGTTTAGCACGTGAAAATATTTTTAATAATTAGGATGGCGGCGAGATTTGAACACAGAATCCCCTAGTCTGATACCAAGTTAAATAACCATCTACTCCAAAAAATTAAACTAAAGCTTAATCTGTTGGAGATGGTGTACTTTAAGTATTTATATTTCAGCACGTCCCCTCACGTGCAGGTTAGATATTAAGCTAAGAACAGGTTAGATATTAAGCTCAGAACATGAAAACTCTTTTAATAATTAGGGTGGCGGCGAGATTCGAATACAGGATCTCCTACTCTAATATCATATTAAACAATCATTTACTCCAAAAGTTTAACCTGTTAGAGAGGGTATAACTTACGTATTTATTCTTCAACACAACTAAAAAATAAAAGTCCATCCTTCCATACCGTATTCTGCACCCCCAACCTGTTCTTTCTTCCTCCCGGCAAAGGAGCATAAACTTATTATAAGGGAAAAAGATCTAGATACAAAGTCGGGTGGCAAGTGAGAAGTGTTGGTATAGTTTGAAAAGCAACAACAAAACCTAGTCTAGTTTACCATTGATCTGCTGCTCTACTAGTTTTAAACCATGATCAATATTTTATTTCAATGCATAGTTTTGATCAACTCAAAAAAAATATATATTTCGGAAACACACTTAATAAAAGAATGAAACACAAAAAAAAAAATCAAAATTTTGATTATGGAACATGCCTAAACATTGGCTGAAAGATCCAAAATATCTTGAAACTTTCCAAAGCACTATGAAATATAAGAATTTCGATATATTTTAATACGCCCTCACACGTGCAGGCTAGATTTTAGGCTTAGCACATGACAACTCTTTTAATAATTAGGGTGGCGGCGAGATTCGAATACAGAACCTCTTATTGTAATACCATGTTAAACAATCATTTACTCCAAAAGTTTAAGCTGTTAGAGAGGGTGTAACTTAAGTATTTATTCTTCAACACAACCAAACAATGGAAGTTCATCCTTCCATACCGTATTCTACACCCCTTACCTATCCTTTCTTCCTCCCGGCAATGGAGCATAAACTTATTGTAAGGGAGAAAGATCTAGATACAAAGTCAGGTGGCAAGTGAGAAGTGTTGGTGTAGTTTGAAAAGCAACAACAAAATCTAGTCTAGTTTATCACTGATCCTCTACACTACTAGTTTTAAATCACGATCAAAATTTTATTTCTGTGTAGTTTTAATCAACTCAAAAACAAAAATGTTTCATTAACATACTTAATAAAAGAATGAAACAAAGAAAAAAAATTCAAAATTTTGATTACAGAACATGCCTAAACATTGGCTGAAAGATCCAAAATATCTTGAACATTTCCAAAGCACTGTAAAATATAGGAATTTCGATATTGAGTGACTAGTTTCACTATATACCAAAACAAAAAAAAATTCATTCCTTTCAGTTAAAACAAAATGAAATTGTGAATCCTTTGGATGAAATAATAACTGACAAAAGACCACAGGTTCAGACTTCTGGGGTATCAGGAACACCGATCAAGGTATCCCAACAATAAATGGGTTGATAGTGTGTGTGGTATTTGAGCCTAAGCTTGTGTGGATTGCAGAAACAGCTCCGTAAAAGTACTGATACTTTGATCAAAGAAATTAGCCAAATCCATGCATTTGATCTCCCCAAAATAAAGGTGGAACAGTTTCTAATACCAGTTAAATCTATATACACAAAACAAAACTTGAGATTCAAAATTCCAAGTTTAAAACCTATTTTGTTTATTAAGTAAAAGCCCACTATTTACAACCATAACTGACAATAGCAGAACTATGGATTGGATAGAATTGAGAAAGGAACACCTAACCAGCTCTTCTTTAAGAGCATCAGGAAATATGGAAGGTTTTCCATTGAGACACTAAGGAGGTAAAAGGGGAGGGCGAGTATTTTGCATACTTCACTGTCCTTGAAGTGTAGATAATATAAGATCCCCTTCATGAGATATCAGTGACCAATTCTAAACCTACATATAATTAGACGATGGACTACAGTGAAGTGAATTTGCATCAACCATAACCTCTTAATTGTGTGGAAAATCAAACAAAATTCATATAAGCCTTCTCATGTCCCAATGTCCGATCAAGTGACAAGAAGTCTTCTATCTAGGTAAATAAACTAGTCTCACAACTCACAAATTAGATTGCCTTGTCAACTAGGTAGTTGTGTATACTCAATAAAACTGTTTGAAGTGAAAAAGGCGGCTTTTGAAGTGAAAAAGGCGGCTTCTGAAGGTCATCAAACTCACAGGTCTAGTGAAATGTGCCCAAAAACTATCAAAACCAAAACTTAATTCATGCCCAAGTATAAGAAAATTTACAAGCAAAGAAACCAAATAATAACTTGTTATAAATCTGAAGCTTGGGTTTGAGAATCAAAACCAATGACTCAAAAACATGAAAAATATGGAATAGGAATAACACCAAGAGAGAAACATCTACCTCACAAAACCATTGTTGTTAATGTCTGCAGCAAGGAACTGAGCAACAGTCATATCCTGACCAAGCACCCATTTTGCCATCCTCCTATGCCGCTTATCCACCCTTGCCTCAGCCAAGTAAAGAAAGGCTCGAGCAACAGCTAGTGTCGACACAAGCAACCAAATAGATGCAAAAATCCGACCAGCCAAAGAAGTAAATGCCCTGTCACCATATCCAACAGTAGTAACAGACATAACAGAAAGATAAAACGAATCTAACCAATCAAGCCTCTCAACAAAATGCATAACGGCAACGCCAATTCCGATACAAAGAACCACAACCCCCAATGCCAATGCCACCTTCATTCGAATCCTCATCCTCCCCTTCTTCACATCAACTATATAAGACACGTGATCATGGGCTCCCCCATCCTTAATTGTCCTCAACAGATGATTCTCTTGCAAATCAAGCACATAACTAACCATCCCAGAAAGCAAAATATCAATAAATCCAAAACCAACAAGCACAAACATAATTGAAAACAATTTTGCTGCATTACTATGAGGAGTTATATCACCATACCCAATTGTACACATTGTGACAATGCAAAAATACAAAGCATCAACAATTGGGTGTGTCTCAATAGCATTAAAATGATCCCTATTAAAATAATATATAACCACCCCAAGTGTCAAATACAGAATCAAAAGCACAAAAGACTGTCTAACAACAGAAGAACCAAATTGGGGTGGTTGAGGCACCGAAGGGCGCTCAAAATCACTGATTGTAGCCATGGCTGGGGCTGTTTTGGACCTATGAAGATTACTTTTTGTCCCTGGATAATTAGGATCAATCAACCAAGACAGCTGGTTTTGTGGGTCAAGATTGCTAATAGCGTCTGACGAAGAAGAAGTGGAGGGCATAGTTGACTTTAAGGTCGGGGTCAAGGCATCAACAAGGCTTGAGGCTGTGTCTCTAGGAGGTGAAGATGAAGATGAAGAACCAAAGATAAGCAGGTCTTTCAGTTCTGATGGGGTTACAGACAGAGGAGGAATAGAGATTCCATTGTCTTCTGGTAAAGAGTAGAGTGGTGGCGGCGGTGATGGCTGGGGTCTTCTTGGGCTGATATAGGGTAAAAGTGGTTCTTTTTCCATCTGGGTTCGCCGGAAAACCGGTTCTGGTTAGCCGCGATACCAGAATCCAGGTGGGTTTTGTAGCAAAAAGCAGTTTCCCGATGCTGATCAGTTTGAGAAAGAAAAAGATTGTAAACACTACACAAAACAAAAATCCAAAAACAGATCCTCTGATTATCAAAAGACAACTGATAAGTGATGGATTTCCAACAATACCAATGTGTAATAATGTTTAATAATCCAATAATAGTAGCTTTGATGGTCTTAAGATTGGGATGTTCCTAAAACATACTTCTTCTCGTCCTATTACTCACCAGCATGGGCGGAGGGAGGTAGGGCCAAGGTGGGCACGTGCCCTCCTCAATTTTTTTTTTTATTAATTAGATATATGTATTATATATTTATACATATATATTATGTGTGCTATCTTATCTCATTTATATTTATATTAGACTCATATTATTTACTCAAAATAATTAAAAAATTAAATCCATTTAAAACAAAAAAAAATTGAACTCACTATTATCTATCCAAACTTATTAAAAAATCAAATATTTGATCTATCACAATCCACCCAATCCTATTAAAAAAAACAAAACTTTTAGCCCAATATTAAAAATAAATTTTTTGGCCCAACATTAAAAATAAAACTTTTGACCCACCATTATTAAAAAACAAAATTTTTGGCCCACTTAACTAAAACCTATCTTATCTTTCCTTTTTTTTTTTTTTTTTTTTTTTTCTGTATCACTCACTTCCAGTTGTCCACTGCCCAGTCACAAAAAAAATAGAAGAAATAGAGAAAAATTCAACACACGAGAAGCCCAGTTCCTTGAGTTTTTTTGTCCTTACTTGCACCAACCTACAAAATTATTTTATACATTATATTTACCCCCTAAATTTTTGAAAATTTTAATAATGGTTATAGTTTTTTTTTTTTAACAAATTAGTGGACCAATAACCCTCTAAAATAAATATGTTATTTTGGATTGAGTCAATGTTTTATTTGTATATTGACAAAAATATAATATTTCTCTTTAACTAACATAATATTCGTTACTTTTTAAGAATAATTTTTAGTTTTCATTTACTATTTTTTTTAGTAATAGTAGTTTATACCCTAATAAAATACGAAAATTAATTTACATTTAATTCATATACAAAAAGATTTAGAGATTTTAAAAAATTTTATACTTTATTGAAATATATAATTAGGTTAAAATGTACTAAAAAAATTATTTTGTATCTTTTTGTTAAGATTTTGTTTCGGCTAAATAAAAATTGAATTTACTATTTTACAATAATTTAGTGTTGATTTTTACATTTTTTTTATTCTTGAATTGAATTTTTTTGTATTAATTTCGGTTTAATATATTTTTATACCAGTTATATTTTGCCTCTATTATAGATATTCATGGCTCTGCCCTTGACAATATATATATATTTTTTGAAATTTTTTATGTTAAATGGACTTCATATATTAAAAATAATATAATAAATATAAATATGTTATATAGTGTGATTGATTAAAAAAAAAAAAATTAGAATCCATAATTAAAGTATCTGTCATGAACAAAATTCTTAACTTCGGCCCTACTTACCGGACAGAGTAAATATTGGGTACTACAGTCATTCATGTCAGCAGTGCTGCTGACATAATCTAATCATTCAATAAAAAAAAAAAAAATACAGCCCACTTTCACATGATTGATTAGTTATTAGATTAAATGAGATCTATAAGCTGATTTGCCTATATTTTAATAGACTATTACACCATATACGTACGATCAGACCTCTTCTAATTTTCAGGACTAATGCAAGTCATAACACGGACTTTTTGCCGGAAATTGAAGCAGGTGGGCCACGCCGGCGCATCAGTCATTAGTGCTAACAGGTAATAGCATTTCTAACCACAAAAACTACTCTAACTGCTCAAAAAATAATATATTTTTATTTTAGTTGTTTGTTTTTTTAATATACACTCTAATAAATTTTTTATATTTTTTATTACTCTTTTTAAATATTATTTTTTATTTTATTTTTATTTTTTTGAAAAATAATGCAAGAGAGAAAGAGAGAGAATAGAAGAAAAGAGAGAAAGAGACAGAAAATATTATAAAAAAATTTTACATATCACTACTGTGATACTCTAAATAATATATAGAGTATCACTGTAGTAAAATATTTATTTTAAATATTTTGAAGATAATTTGTTCGACTGAAATTTTTGGGCTAAATAGTTAAAATTTAAAGATTTTGTATGTTTTATATCATCTGTTGGAGATGCTCTAAAAACTAGTTTTGTTCACTCTTTTTGCATTCTACCGAAGTAACTATTTTATATTTTGATGAAGTGTCAAATTATGTAATATTTTTAATTTAAAATGTTAATAATAATTAATTAAAATAAAAAATATAATTAAAATAAGTTTGTAAAAATAATTCTTTAAAATAAAATGTATAATAAATACAAAAATCTACCAGATTAAACTATGCATCAAAAATAATATTTTTTTTTCAATGCTAAGAGGTAGCTCAAGTGATAACAGGGACATGGAGCTATAAATTTAAACGTCTTGAATTCAAATTTTGACAACCCCGTAAAGCCAAGACATGAAAAATTTATCCCTCATGAATACTTTAGTCCCGTGTATGAATTGTCTATTTTTGTCTAGATTGGAGAGAAAAGTCGAGGTGTGTATAAACTGACTCGAATATTCTCAACCATTAAAAAAAAAAAAAAACTTCAAATATCAATTATAATCCTTACTATTTACACACAGATATCATGTGTGCACAAGCTCTAGTGGATAATTGTAGTGTCATTGGTGAGCACTACCTTGTATACTCATTGTTGGACAATGGTTACAATAATTTCAAGCCGTGCAAGTTTATTATCAATTAAACTATTTGTCTTTTTAAAGTATTATCATCCATGACGGTGTTTTTGTTTTTCTATTCCCATAGAAAATTATTGAGATCACTAATTTTTTTTGTAGTATTATTGTAATAATGTATCAAACAAGTTTTTTTAGAATACTGATTATGCACACAATTTTATTTTTATCAATTGATGTAACACAAACACAATTATTGAACATTTAATAAATTCAAATGTAACGTCTTATGCTAACATCAGCTCGTGGCATTTTTTCTATTCCTTCTTATCCTGAAAAGCAAGATCACCTTATGTCTTTGAACCGATAATCATCTTTTGGCTAATTTAGTCTTCTCTATCCCTTGGGACCAACAAGGGATAGTACAAGACTATTCACTTATTGTCCTTCGACTATACCTTTCGGCCTGATCTTAGGCGCTGATTCATCCTTCGTGGACGAACCTTGCAAAGGATTTATATAAAGATAGTATACAAAAATATTATAAGGATGAGTTATTTACCGTAATACAACAAATTTAAAATTTATTTATCGACTTATGGCATTTTAGAATATATTTATCAAACTATAACATTTTTTAAAAACGGAGTTAAATTACAACATTTTTTAAAAAAGGAGGTCATTTTGTTAAAAATAAATGAAGTCAAGAACACCACTTTTAAATACAAAATTACTTAAATATTATATAATTAACAAAATGAAAAACGTGTTTGCTTTTTTTGCTGTTGCACGAAAAAGTAAGAAACTGCCGGCACCTGCTCACACAATTGTTACCATTTATTTACCGATTCTGGGTTCTTCATACTGCAACAAATAAAAAATAAAACACAGTTTGCTCAATTTTTTATTTAAAAGTGGGTTCTCGACTCCGTTTTTTAAACAAAATAAAAACGGAGTTATTGCCAACCCCGTTTTATTGTGGCAAACAACTCTCATAAGGCTGGCGTGTTGTATTGTTGATTTTTTTTTTTTTTTTTAATGTAATGTGGTCAAATGACCTTTTTTCCAACTAACATGTTTGATTGTACTTCAAAATTAACCAGTAATTTCCTTTTTTACCCCAAAAAAAAAAAAACAAGTACTTTTCTGTTTTTAAGTACTTTTTTTTGTCTTTCATTTTTCCAAAAAATCATAATTCGGATTCATAATTGTCATTTATGGTTCTTCCTTCTGTTTGTGAAACACTGGATAATTAGAGAGGACAAACACTAATTACAAACTACTAATAATGTTATACTAAATGGTCATCAGCTAATTTGTTACCTTTAATTGCATATGATTCAAGAGATGAGTCCACTACATTATTCCAAACGTTAAGTCCAATACAGACATAGTCTACGCTATTATTTGCATAAAGTAATTTGAATCATTAATTGATGTTTATTAGCCCGACAATTCATCACTATATTAAACAACTAGCAAAAACCCCGTACTTAAAAACAATCTACAACGGTATATAGAAGAAAGGTATAGATCTAAATTAGTGGGATTAGAGAGTGTTTTAATTGACTTGCCCGCTATTGGAGGTGTGCAAAGAAGATGTTTTTAGCCGAGAAAACATTTTATTAAATGAATTTTATAACGTTTGATGAAATTGTATGAAAATCTGATTAATCTCAATTATTGTTATATTTTTATAAATACTAGATTTGTTATTTTTAGTATTACAGTTAGAAATGTTCAGACCAACTTACACTCACTTCGACTAATCTCATTACCAATCCAATCAAAGACATACCATCAACACCAAAATTACAAAATTTAATAAAGAATAAACTCCTCGTGACCTAACCTGATCTAACCCTATAAGAATTTTCAAATTTCAAACTCAAAATGTATAAGTTTACAATTAATCCCTATCTCTACCGTGCTAACCTTAAAGTTGAACCTTTCTAGATTTTGCACCATATCTTTTTCAAGTCCAATTGCATTATAAAGTTAAAAATGTTCGGAAACTTTACGTTTATTGACTTTTTGTTTTCTTTACATGATTTGTTAGCTGCAATAATTGCAATCACATGAGCAAGATGGAGACCAGGAACCTTGTTCAAAGCACCACCAAAGCAAAAGATGGAGAGCCATTCATATCTTCTATAAGGGTAATTCAAAAAAAAATTTCTTTCTGAAGATCTAGACTTTGAACTAAAATATCATTATTATTTTTGAAAAATCGATAATCAAATATAAATATTTTCCTTGAATAATGTCAAAATGTTTCCTATACCCGTCTACATATTGATTTCTAAATCATGGAAATCAAAGGGTAAAAAGTAACACCCTTACAATAATTGCAACTTGGAAACCTACACCAATCCCATCAGCAAAAATGGGTGTTGAGAGGTTGGACTTGTCTGTATATTCTCTTTGGCATGTTCAATCCACTCCCATGCCAGCACACATTCAAATTTATAATCATAAGAAAAACAGTCTGGTAGGTAACAATATTGAGGGGAGAAAACAGATGAGAAAAATGTGGAGAAAATTTTAGTGTTTAATGTTACATCACACAAACCACACACTCACCAAATAAAAAGTGCTAGATACGAACCATTACTAATCATCATCCTCAAGAACATTTCGACGCCTCTGGATCTGAGAAATAACACCCCAACTAAATATATAGCTAAATACATGCAGAGAACAAATAATGCATAGGAAAGAGGACATTAGACTTACAGTGACTTTGGTCTGTTTAGTTGTTTGGGAGTTGATTTGTTCCAGCAATGATATGAGCCTCTCTTCAGAAACCTACATATGAAAAGTTATTCAAGCAAGATTATTTTCAGCCTCACTTTTTATAGGAGTTCTTGATAATGACATGAAATTGATATATGCACACACATAAACACCAGACGCTGACAAATATATAAATAAGTCCTTACCTTCTCAACTATCTGACCCATTTGAGCAGCTCTCAGTATAACATCTTCAACTCCTCTGGCCTTCTCAGGCTTCACCAAAGCAATTCGGGCAACTGCACATATGCCGCAGAGATTATAGGAAGTAAGAAAGTCTGCTTATTTTGACCAATTCTAGGTGAAAAATGGGGTTGCTCCCTCAGCAAAACTGAGATAAAGTTGAGCCAAAAGATCCCGATTAAAGAGAAATTCATAAGGAGCTGACAACCAAGATAAAATCCATGGGGCAAGGGGCAAGGGGAAAGGGGCAAAAAGAAGCATTGATGAAAGAAGAGCAAACAGAGACCAATAATCAGGTCCAATATGGTAGATAACCACAAGTAACAAACAATTACAACATTAATACCCATGTCCTTTGATTAAAAAAAAAACTGGTAATCTGCTCCAATATGTAGATAGCCATGGCAAACTCTCACAACACCCTCATGCTTTGTTCATCCTCCTGACAACCATTGCACTTAATTCAAGGATCAAAATTTCGTTTCATAATGACCGATGAAATTCCAATGCTTTGAGGTGCTTCAAACAGTTTTGAGATGTTTTGGCAGGGTTCCACCATTGTTTCAGATTGTTTTGACTTTCAAGGTGTTTTAGTATAAAACAATGCACCGAAACAAATTTTGATCCATAATTTGATGGTCGGTCAAATGCATAAAATCAACATCATCCCCTCCCCTTTGACCCTCCTACTACAAGTAATTTCACTCCTCCAACCTCCATATGAACTAGCGTTGGTGATCATTCCAACATTAATGTCAGTTAAAAAAAAAATAGTCATAAGCTCGTGCAGTTCTGGTTCAACATTTAAACTTTGACAAGGACTTGTACACTGTCAGTTACAACATCTTTTTGCATGTTCTTGTCATCTACCTACCCTCCCACAGAAAAAAAAGAAAAAAAAAAGGAGAAAAATCAACCTTTACTGAGAGAGTTCCTCCGCACCAACCATTGATAACATATGGTGGTCAACATCACAAATAAGGTGAGTAAACCACAATCACTACTCACTGATCCTTTGATTTCATTAAACTCCACACAGAGTATATTACATTTTGCCCAATGTGATATAATCCATGGAAATCCCCCTCCCCCCCCCCCCCCCCCCCAAAAAAAAAACCCCAAAAATGCTTAATATAACCTCATGTGTTTTAACCAATGTGCAACCATTTCAATTTGGCAGTGTGTATGAGAAGGCACACATTGTAAAATAAGATATCATTTACCTTTAAAATAAAAGAACAACTATGCCAAATACCAACTTAAAGAATTGCACTCCACATTTGAACTTACTTCTTTCTCTTGCTTCAGATGATAAAATCTGACTAAGCATCATCTGCCTTCGTTCATCTGCTTCCCTGGATCATTTGCTTGAGTAGGTCAACATCAGATCAATAAAACAAATTACACTAAAAACTAAAGGAGTGTATACGGAAGCAGATCAACCTTTTAGCTTCCTCTTGAGATTTCTGTTGTTCAGAGTTTTGCTGATTCCCCTGTTTCTCAAAAGTTCAATGCTATTTCAAAACTTCAACTTAGAGAAAACCAACTCCTTCATTAAAGGAACATAAATCTTATATACTCAAAAGACATAATAACTTACAACACCATGTTGAGCCATTAGCTCCTGCATTCTTCTTTGCCTGATAGCTTCCAGCTCAGGGTCAGCCTGCAATATAGAAAGACGCAGTATTTAAATTCCAAATTCCTATAATGGGTAGTAGCATATTCTCAAGCTCCTTCAAATCTAAACAAATTTCTAGAATAGAGTTGGTTTTTAGATCTTCCACTAGAAGTTCCTGAACTATAGCATGAACTACAAATAATGATGACACACAATTTTCTTTCACTCCTATTTGCCCAATTCCACCCAACTCTTTCACACTAATGCTCCACAACCGAAATTCAGCATGAAAGAGTAAGGTAGAGACAGACAGAAACGTGGGAAGGAAGGGAGGGAGAGGGATGCCAGAGGGGCCCAAAACACAATTGATTGCTCCAATTTCACCAGTGAACAGCTTCAGAATTCTGTTCCTTGAAAAATCAACTCAAATAGCAATATAGAGACGTTCAACATAGCAAGTGAAATTATAACACAACAAATTAATTCAACTTCAACAAAACCCTAATGGTAAAATCATAATAAATCNCCCCCCCCCAAAAAAAAAACCCCAAAAATGCTTAATATAACCTCATGTGTTTTAACCAATGTGCAACCATTTCAATTTGGCAGTGTGTATGAGAAGGCACACATTGTAAAATAAGATATCATTTACCTTTAAAATAAAAGAACAACTATGCCAAATACCAACTTAAAGAATTGCACTCCACATTTGAACTTACTTCTTTCTCTTGCTTCAGATGATAAAATCTGACTAAGCATCATCTGCCTTCGTTCATCTGCTTCCCTGGATCATTTGCTTGAGTAGGTCAACATCAGATCAATAAAACAAATTACACTAAAAACTAAAGGAGTGTATACGGAAGCAGATCAACCTTTTAGCTTCCTCTTGAGATTTCTGTTGTTCAGAGTTTTGCTGATTCCCCTGTTTCTCAAAAGTTCAATGCTATTTCAAAACTTCAACTTAGAGAAAACCAACTCCTTCATTAAAGGAACATAAATCTTATATACTCAAAAGACATAATAACTTACAACACCATGTTGAGCCATTAGCTCCTGCATTCTTCTTTGCCTGATAGCTTCCAGCTCAGGGTCAGCCTGCAATATAGAAAGACGCAGTATTTAAATTCCAAATTCCTATAATGGGTAGTAGCATATTCTCAAGCTCCTTCAAATCTAAACAAATTTCTAGAATAGAGTTGGTTTTTAGATCTTCCACTAGAAGTTCCTGAACTATAGCATGAACTACAAATAATGATGACACACAATTTTCTTTCACTCCTATTTGCCCAATTCCACCCAACTCTTTCACACTAATGCTCCACAACCGAAATTCAGCATGAAAGAGTAAGGTAGAGACAGACAGAAACGTGGGAAGGAAGGGAGGGAGAGGGATGCCAGAGGGGCCCAAAACACAATTGATTGCTCCAATTTCACCAGTGAACAGCTTCAGAATTCTGTTCCTTGAAAAATCAACTCAAATAGCAATATAGAGACGTTCAACATAGCAAGTGAAATTATAACACAACAAATTAATTCAACTTCAACAAAACCCTAATGGTAAAATCATAATAAATCTATTATAAAATAAAAAGCATAATTGACTTTGATATTCGTTCTGTTGAAAAGCCAAATACAAACAACATCATGCAGACTTAGAGCAATTGAACTCATAAGACCCTAAACACTAAATATAGATTTAAAATTCCCGCTATAAAGTCTGTGTATCATCTCAATTTCTCAATATATCAATATGAACACACACACACACACACACACACAGATTACCATTGGTTTGAGCAGGATCAGAGTAGGTGGCTGTCGGATACTCTGGGCAGCAAATGGTTCTGCAAAAAGTGCGGAGAAAATGAAAGAGAAAGAGCTAGCGTTGGTGAGACGCGATAGAGATATGAACGTAGTGCGTATAATTACACTTTATACCCCTAAACTATGGACTCGATTTCACTTTGCTACTAAAATTATTAAATTTTTCACACTGCCCCTTAACTACTTAAATTATTTCACATTACCCCCTTGACTACTTAAAATAATTTTTTGTTAAATTTGTAATCGACATTACTAATTGGGACGATGTAAAACTAATCATATAGTTGTGGAAAAAATATTAAAAATATGATAATTGGCATGTGCATTTCATGTGAAGGAAACTCACAAGTATGTATACGAAAAATTACACTTACACCCTCATTAATAAAAGGTTGGATAAATTACATTTACACCGCTTAAACTATCACATATTTTTTACTTTGTCTCCTAAACTATCAATTTTTTTACATTGTACCCTAAACTAACATTGTTGTTTCACATTGCCCCGATCGATAACTGTTGTCACACATTTAACAGAATAGTAGGGCAAGCTTGGTAATCTAGGGAAAAAGGATGGAGGGAAACCAATCTAAGCTTCCCGCCAATATTTGAGCCTCTATTGTTTCTTCTTTTTTCTCTACACACCAATCCAAGCTTCATCTTTCTTCCTGCCATAAATACACTCTATCACCATGGCAAGAGAACAATACTAAAGACTTCATGGATAGAATTGAAACCAGGAAGAAGGTTCCTTGCTTGTGATATTCATCAGGTGGGGGTTACTAGTAATTCTCTACACACCAGTCCAAGCTTCTTCTTTGTTCTTTATTGAATAATTTCGTTTTCTTTCTGATTATTATCACCTCCTCATTTCTACAGGAAGGTGGAAGATGCGGGTATTTTGCTTGGTTTGACCCACCCATCTGGCCATGTGCAATTGATCTTGCAACATTATACCCAGTCTTCTTCGAAGGTTATCATATGTCGAACAACAACTAGAAAAAAGAAAAGCCTGAGAGAGGAGGTTGATTCGCACTTTTTAGTGATCGGATTAATATTATACACCAAAGTATAAGTCGTCGAATTATAGTTTTCTCGATTTTAAGTCCAAGTATCAATCCCACAGAGAGTTTTAATAATTTGGAAACGAAATAAAATAGTTAAGTTGCTAATTTGAATAGGAGAGCATGTGATAGCTTATGATGTGAGCTTAGATTGATAACTAATCTAAGTAAACAGTTATGTGCAGATAAAGTAAGATAATAATAAAAAGTATCATTCAGTTCAAAGATCTCATATGCATTATATTGGTTAAATACTGGAAATGCTACCTTACAACAATCAACTTCCATTTTACTAACAAGTCAATTGATAGGTCTGATGTATATAAACCATCACACAACAACTTCTTAAGTTAGCTGATGATATCCATGACAACTGATTAATCCAAACAAACCAGAAGGACAAGCCATTCATGAGTAATACTTAAATTATTCATTTGTCTTCATAATAGTAGGTGCATACAAAACAATCCATAACATAGTCACTTCTTAGATTAATTGGTGGTAGTAGTCATAACACAACAACTTCTTAGGTTAGCTGGTTAGAGATATGTCAATTGACTAATCTAAGCAAATCAGAAGGACAAGTCAATCATGAGAAATACTTAGATTATTCATTTGACTATACCTGTGATACATAAATACCAGTTAAACATCCTCAGCGTTCCGGTAGAGGACTAGCCATTTAGGTTAAACCCTAATAACCTATAAGTTAAACCCTAATAACCTAGAAGGATCATTTAGGTTTTGTACCATGCATCAGTTAATATCCTCAGTGTTCTAGTGGACGACTAGCCATATCAATAGGAATGTCGTGGTTGTTTGACCGACAGGTTGCCATATCGATAGGAATGCCATGGTTGTTTGACCGACAGGTTGATGATGCACTGATGACCTATTTCTAGGCACAACACCGAAAGTACGTACATCACTGAATCATGCATGAAACATATAATACATAGATATATAAATATATAAAACATCAGAATGTCTAAAATTTAACCAGTATTATACATATGTTTACCTCTTACTGGAGGATATACGGAACTACTCACGCCCCATTGCTATAGACAAGCAAGGAGTGTAGACAGTTTTCATTATAACTGAAATTAAAAGACAGAATTTAAAATGTCTTTCACAAGGAACAACTGAAACACAATCACCTTTATTATCAATTAAGACAAAAAGGTGATAGCAGTTCAACTATCTGAATAGAAAGATACAACATAAATGTAAAAGTACAAAATTTAGACTCAAGTGCATCACGAACTCGATCGCTTTTTTAACTTCTCTTTTGCTATTTTTCTTTCTCTGTATCTTGTCTCTCTTGGTTCCGACCTGTTGAAGAATGAAGCAGGGCATGGCTATTTATAGTCGTTTGAAGAAGTAGGAGGTGGAAGGCTGGAGATAAGATCAAGGGGGACCATCCGGATGCCATCACCACCGTTCGAACGGTAGTGCTTTGTTGGAATTTGCAACTTGCGTTGTATGCTGACTCTTCTTGTTGGGAAATTACACTTTAGTTTTTGTCCTTTTATAATTTTATGCATTGCTCCTTGTATTCTTTGATATTTCAACATTTAACCTTGAAATTTTTAAACTTAATACACATAAACCCCTAATTACGCACAAACCCTAATTAACTCTTAATTACTAGTTTTTAGTTATTTTATCACACTAATTTGACTTATTAATTATTCTAATTTATATACTAATTAAGGTTAATCAGAGGTAGTGGATGGCTTTGGTTGCAACTTGCCTACTTATTTTTCTAATACTTGGCTCTATTAGGGAAGGGTCTACAACAAAGTAGACTTTCCAGTTCTTGTGGGAAAATTTGGAAGTTGTAACATTTTGAATATGTACTAACTGGTGAGTGGTATATGTATTATGGTTGTAACATTTTGCTATAATGATATATATATTAGTTTTTTATGAACCTTAGTGCTACTTATTGAAGAGTTTTTTCATGAGTTTATCACAAACTAAGCAACCTAGTGGCACAATAGACCAACAAGTCACAATAGAAATCTCAACTGTGTTGTTACATAATGTGTCCAAAAAAACATACACGATGTATCCAAAAAAGCATGCATAATGTGTCCAAAAAGCCATACAAAAAAAGAATACACATTGTGTCCAAAAAGTATAACACATCTTTTTTCAACTACTTAATCTTGGAGCTGTCCACACTACCCTTTTTCATTGTGTGTATCCCAACACAGCCCTTCTTGCTTTTTTCACGCTCACTTCCTTTGTATGAGGCTTCATTTCCAGTTTTTTGTTTACTAGTAGTTGTCTGTAATTCATTGAGAGTAACACATCTTTGCCCTTTCCAAAGGAAAAAGGCTGGCTTCAGAATTGAGGTTGGTCATGGTTTCTAGTGCTTATTTGACTTCTTTTTCCTGGAGCGATGAAAGTCCTAACAGGAACTATACTAGGAGCTTTGTATCTCCTTATTTTCAATGAGTGTTAAAAAGACATGCTAATAAACTCATGCAAATTGTTAAAAAAACAAAGAAGTAAAAATCTAAATTTTAAACTTACAAGTAAATTTGGTCTCCTTTGTGGCTGCAAATGTCAAAGGATTATTTATTCTTGTAGCTACTTCGTTGGACTTGGAAGTTGCTTTAGTGAAAAATTGCTTTGACTGATTAACCCTAATTAATACATAATTTAATTAAGTTAATAGATCAATTGTGTTAGTTAAACAAAGTTAAACTAGTCAAATTACGGTTAGTGTGTGAATTAGGGATAATGTATTAATTGTTGTTCTTTTCAGGATTTTGTGTATCAAAGCTACAAACTACTGGGGAGCTAATTATCAAGCTACAAACTACTAGGGTGCCAATAAATAGACACTCCCCTCCACACGTAGACTATACGCATTGAGGGATGATGTTCGGATGAGAGTGTCACTCTCCCTTAGAATGATGTCAAAAGAAAGGACAACGAAATGGTAGGTGAATAAAATGTGTATGTGTGTGAACAAAAATACTCCCCAAGCGCAGAGAGACTTTTGCTTATCGTGTTTTACTTGGAATCGTATTCTAAAGTCGTCTCATCAGGAAAAGAGGTGTATCATCATGAAGGTGATTTTTGTAAAAACAAAGTGTAAAATCTTTTTTTGGTATTTTAAAGTAAGTAGTGATAGAGACCAAAGTGACTGGAACACTTGAAATTAAAGTGATGATCTTTACGGATTTCTCCTGGGCCGAATATAAAATTCTTTTCAAGAGGATTTTCTAGACAAAATATAAGATAATTTCAAATTTGAAAGTCACCATTTAGTTCGACGATCTAAACATGTAGTCAACCATCCAGTTTATTATACTTGTGCTTGGGAACACAATTAATCACCGTTCAAAATGAAGTTAATTGGAAGATAAAGATAGGCTGTGAGAATTAATAGCATGGTTCCAATGTCTTTGTAGAAATTTATAAGAATTTTTTGTGTCGAGACTCAACCCGTCTATAAACAAACAAGTATTTCTACAAGATATCCAACTATTGTATTAGTTTTTCATTTTTTAAATGAAGCACAATAATGGTGAAGATTGAAGGTTAGTCATAAAGATTTAGTCGGGGTACTTGTCTTGAACCAATGAGTCTTTCTATACAAGAGTCATCTGTGTCATAGAAAATACTCACGGTTATACAAAGGATCTTAGATTTGCTAGATTCATTCAATCATTCAATAAGCAAGCGAAATATAAAACATTAAGCATAAACGAAATGCACAAGTATAACTTCCGGATGATTTATATATATTCATCACCTCTTACTAAAGAGTGAATGAGAAACTATTCAGTCTTCATGGCTTTGGTAAAGCTAGAAAGTAAAAGATGCTCATCCTTTCAAGTAGATGAGTTACAAGGTAAAACATATTACACAAGGAGCTGATCTTCGATAAAAAAATGAGTGAATCACGTTCCGTCCTTCACGGCTTTGGTAAAGCTCTAAAAAAGTGGAAGGGTTTCACTCTTCTAAGGGAAG